CAGAATCTTCCTTTCGAATATATTTACATATTCTCTTAGTTTCTTTGTTAATGTCCACGTTTCTCAACCATACATCGGATAGGTCTTATTGTGGTCTTATATATTCTGATTTTTATGTTGCGGTGTATTGTTCTGCTTTTAAATATGTTTGCGAGAGCAAAGTATCGTTCTCTCCTTTTATAGGTTCGATTCGATCTTCTGCAATATTTCTGGCTATGGTTACAGTTCTACTTTAAATCTTGTTTTTTTTGTTTTTTCATATGTCTTCTCTGCTTCTTTTTTTGTTTTGCGCATCATGTTTATATCGTGTACGTATGTAGCCAGGTGGAAGGTTTTATTAACAAGCAGATAGGCTCTTCCTATTTTTATCTTCCTAATAATTTTTTTGAAGTTAAAGATCTGGTTTAATTTGGATTTCCACAGAAAGTATGAAAAATGCTGTGATATACATATACTAGACAGAAAAAGATGCTTTTGATCTAACCATAGAAAAAGGTGTCTTTTTAGCTAAAGAGAAAGATAATTATCTCTGACAGGCTCAAAGACCCATACATTTGAAGAAGACAGCTAAGTAAACTAGTTTGCTTGGTTTACATGTAACAAGAGTTATATCATCAATGAGTTATAAAGGTGTAGTAACTATACATAAGAGTCATTAAGTCATAAAAGTTCGCAAGAGATTATCACGTTTGGCAAAAAAACTAGCTAAATAGGTTTCAACCTAATGCGGCAACTTTATCTTAAAGTTTTATCCCAAGTATTTTATGAAAAATTTAAAGAAGAATGTTGACCTTAACGGGAGAAAAGCTATCGTGTAACGAGGAGATTGTTGTTCAATTTATCGAACAGTTCAGGAAAAAAGTGAATGGAACTTAGAAGATGAGTTATCAATTGCAGAACTGATGATGTTACAAAATCGAGAGAGACTTCACAGCGCAAGGAATTGAAGCGAATTGAAAGAGTCGGTCAGCGAACCAATGATGAGTTCTAAATCGATGGAAATAGAAATGGTCTCTATTTTCAAGATTTATTTATTAGATAACAATAAAGTATTTTGTACATATAAGAGATATAATTAGGTGGGAGATAAAATAATTTGAAAATGCAGAAATCACCCGATTTACGCATTATCATCATTACCCAGATTACAAGCACAAAAAATCTAAATTAATCCAATGATAACTATAATAAAATTACTTAATTATAAATGTATTAAGATACCATTTTCAATAATTTATTCATTATCTTATCTTTTTTGTATGTTTACAATTATATCACCTATTAAATAACAGTAAGTAGTAATTCAAATCAAATCATCACTGTTATAGTAGTCGCTTAAAAAAAGTGTACAAAATAAAAAATGTCATTTTAAACCCCTACGAGTTATGCAACCAACTCAACGCACGCACTTACCGGTTACATTCGTTTCAGGCGTTGATAGTTATGCGGAAGACCAACAACAGTTTAGTCCGACGTCGCAAACGGAAGGGGCGGAACCATCGCCCCAGTCACGTTCGGGAACGCCCCTTGACTGCTTTCAATACGGCGCTGTTGATGGTTACACGATGCGACAAGATCAGGAGTACCAATCGGCATTCGGAAGAGCCATCGAGGAGGTGTGTAAAAATGATAAACGAAGAAAAAATAACTTGAATGAGATAAAAAATACCAGCATTTTTTAAAAAATTTTGGCGGGAATTTTTAAATCATTGTTGCTTTGTAGGTTCCCATAGAAGACCAACAGGAGGCGCATTACATACAATTAGACGTTCCTGGTGTTGTCGCGGAATCTTCACCAAACGGTAGCGATCCTTCGAATAGTCCAGGTTCGCCGAGGAGAGTTACGTATTTAAATGCCATGTCTCCAGGTGACCAACATAATAGCGGTATGGAAACTACTCAATTAACTACGTTATCGAGTCATCATTACGCAGGATTGGATTCCACAAAGTAAGAAAAACATTATTTTTTTATTTTAATAAAATAACTCATTAAAAAGATTCATATAAAAATAAAATTTTGTTATTATAACCTCAAATAATAAGACGTATAGAGATAAAATTTGACAGTTTAAACGAAGTGTCAAAAAACTGTCAAAAAATTTTTATCTCAAAATTAATCTAAAACGTTTTATTTATTTAACGAACAAAAATTTTAAGATATTATGTTACATTAATTTTTCTTGATTAACTTTAAACTAGATTTCAAACAATTTACTCTAACATGTTTACAAATGCGAAGGTTACATTACGATTTACAACACACAATAGTTATTTCAACCGATTCTCGACGTTTTAAAAAGACCATCCCAGTCTATTTCGAAAATGTTTGGAATTTTAAATATATTTCGATTACACAAGACAAATAAATCAATTTTTTTGTAATATTTTTTAATTCTTTAAGATAAATTAACTAAAAACAAACTTTTTGTTCACGATTCGTCATTTTAATAACAATTTACAGCTGCAACGCGATTTAATAACAATAAATATCGATGTAGAGGATGATTCTTTGCGTAACTATTCGTTTGGTTTTGAATTTTTGAGGAGATACGGGGGTGAATCAGTTCTTATTTTATCAATATTTCATTTATAAACTGTGTAATTTATTTTATTCTTGATGGTTATGTGTTATTTATGGAAAAAAAAAAGAGAGAACGTTGTAGTAGTTGAGTATCAATAAACAATCTTTCGTAACGTCGTTGTTTATCGTGTAAAAGCCTGGGACAAGAGTTTTGTTTTAAGTTTGTACCGGTAATTAACGGTGTTGTACTTAGAAAAAGAAACTAGAAGTAGGAAANTAGAAACATTCGGGTTTAGCCGCACGTCTCTCAAGACGGCTCAACCCGAATCATTCTAGTTCTAAGTCTTATGTTAGTTCTAGTGATAGTGCTAGTGTAAAACTAGAACTAACACTAGACTTAGAACTAGAAACATTCGGGTTTAGCCGCACGTCTCTCAAGACGGCTAAATCCGAATGATTCTAGTTCTAGGTCTTGTGTTAGTTCTAGTTTTAAATCAATAAAAATATGCAATATAGTGATATCTTTTGTTAACTAGTGATACCTACCACTGTCACTATAACCAACATTAGACCAAGAACTAGAAACATTCGGATTTAGCCGCACGTCTCTCAAGATGGCTAAACCCGTCTTGCGTTAATTCTAGTTTTAGTTTAATAAAAATATGCAACATAGTTATATCTAGTGCTAACTACCATTACTTAGCACTGTCACTAGAACTAACACTAGACCTAGACCTAGAATCATTCGGGTTTAGCCGTCTTATGAGACGTGCGGCTAAACCCGAATGATTCTAGTTCTAGGTCTAGTATTAGTTCTAGTTTTAGTTCAATGAAAATATACAACAATTTAGTACTGAATAACAACTGAAACTAGAACTAACACTAAACCTAGAACTAGAAACATTCGGGTTTAGCCGTCTTAAGAGACGTCCGGCTAAACCCGAATGATTCTAGTTCTAGGTCTAGTGTTAGTTCTAGTGACAGTGCTAGGTAGCGCCAGTTAACGCTAGATACCTATCACTATGTTGCATATTTATATAAAACTAAAACTAGAACTAACACTAGTTTTTGTTTGTTGAATATGATACTGAAAATAGTTTAAAATCTTCTTTGGAGAAGTGCTATACATGAACAAATTAGCTCTTCGAAAGAGTTATTCTATAATAGCTCAAAGTTTGTCTATAAGTTGAGTCGTCATTAAAATAGGTAATGTTGAGTAGTTCATGTTGTTAAAAATAGCTTCGAATAACCAATACGTAGCTAGTAATTCGTAATTCTTGAAACTAGTTTTTCCCAAAAGATTCAGAGTAAACCTAAAAGCAGGGTTGGCCATAATGCACTAAATAATAAATGCAATAAGCGTTTCACTAACACTACTTCTTCAGTGATAGTGGAAAAAAAAAATTACATCATCACTAAACCTGTAGTAATAGTGAAAAAAATAGCACTACCACTAAATATTTAGTTAGCTGCATTGACATGTTCCTTAATAATTCATTGATAGAGTTAATCCAGAACCTTGAGAGTTGATCCAACATAGCTATATAGGAAAAGAAACTATA